TTAATAAACAAATAAACTAGATTCATAAATTTTGGATTAAACGTAAAGAGTATTGTAATGCTGTATTAAATAAATCGAAAATAAAGCCGTGCACTATGTTAATAATAATGATAATTCTATTGACATCATTTTATGAATATAATCTCATTATACTTGTATTGAATCGAATAATTCAATCTGTTGGTGTATTTCTCAATGTCGGTACAGCGTAGAATTTCCATTTTCGTTATAATAAAAATAAATGATCATATCAAAAAAGTGGCGCATCATAGTATTTTTCTTTTCAATATACATAAAAAAACTCAAATTATTCACAACTCTAAAAAAATCAACATAATTTTTTCAGAATAAAAATTTAAGTGGTTCACCTTCATCCGATTACTTATATAAATAAATAAAGAGAATACCAGCAAATATATTTCCTAAGTCAAATGATAAATTTAAAATAATATAAATACATATTTGATGGTTAAAATAAAATTCTTTTATGGGCAAATAATTTTTAGACTTATTTTCCTTGAAATGCTGCGAAAGAAACAAGTTTTTAACAAACTTAACAAATAAATGGTGTCTACAGCGTTCGAGAACTGGATGCTAGAAGGACACGTCTCAAATTGCTTCTATACTCATCGACCGGTTAGATAGTCATGTTATTAAGTAAACAACACATTGGCTCTAAAATGAACGAAAAGGCAAAGAGGCCAACTTTCAAGTTCTTTCTTCAGGGAGCCTCGACGAAAAGCAGCAGAGAAACCGCAAGAATTGCCGATGGCAAATCCAACCACAAGACTGACGAGAAAGCGGTGCTGTAATCTTGAGAAAAAAAACGATGTATTTTTATTTATAATGATGCCGCCTAAATTTCCGTGGCTACTCTTGATCCTTTAGATGATGCCCACAGGTGAGTGTGTACTGGCATAAGCAAAAGGATCTCAGCAACTCAACATTATATATACATACATAAGTATGAACACTCGAGAGTTCGTACTGACTTTAATAAATATCAAGGCTCATTATTTCACTGCGTACGCCGCTAGCACCTGTCGTGTGGCTTCAGGTAGAGACGTATACGGTTAGTGAGAGGCTGGAGGGGTGGCCGGACCACATGAACGGCGGCAAAAATATCAGTGCAAGAGAAAAAGGGAAATACATATAGTAGAGATCACGGATGCGCCATGAGGGAGCCAGTCGAGTTGCCCACCGCCCTCATGACGTAGAGGGGATAACCGAGAGGAAACTGACTCCCAGAGAAGGGAGACTGTCTACCTAACCGGTCCAGGAATCCGGGGCCACGCTTACAAACCAGTGATTGTCAACCTTATTCTTTCTGCTCTGTTGATTAACCTGCGATAGAAATTTATCTTGTCCTTACAAAATAATATTATAGAAATGATTTATTATGTGATTTATTTTTTATTCATTATTGTTTATCATAATACTCGAGAGATATTCTAGTTTAGATTACACAATTATACTGGAAAAAGGATATTTTATTTTTATTATTAAATTTTTTCTGTTCCAGGAATCGATTACTACAATGAGAAATTTGTAACGCTCAAAACAAACAGAAAACGCTTCACTCTAGTCAAGTTTGGTTTAATTAACTGCTTTGCAAGGTTTTACTACTTCAAGTTTCAAAATTTTTTATTTTATTTGGAGGAGTTTGATCTTTGTAGTAAATAATAAGATAGATCGAACTGAATATTGATTTATCAAGAACTTAAGTATTAGTTAAGTTGTTTGAATTATAGAACAAAGAATGAAAACAACTTTGGAGATTTACCTGTCGATATTAATATAGACATTGAATCTTTGTTTAATCTTTGTAAACAATTACTACAATTCAATTTTAAAGAATTAAATGTACTTTTTTTCTCAAAGCAACTTAAGACTTTCTTGTTCTTTGATGATCATCAATGAACTTTCTAGTAATTAAACTAATTGAAGTGATTTTTTTTTCAGTTTTTAGAAATCTAAAATACGTTTTTGTTTCAGAAAAAACTTTGATTATTTATATTTAAAAACTTTTTAAATTAGAAACAAGGAAGTTTTGTTTTTGCTAATTTTTCTTTATAAATGCTATTACAAACTCAATAATTAATCCTGTTATTGTATCAACACGTTCCGATTGTGTCACCTGTAAAATTTATCTCAATCACTGGAACTTACATTTATAACAATTTAATTATCTATGCATATGTATTCTTAATTGATCGGCATAATTAATGTACATTAATTCATGTACATAATAATATGTGGAATCAAAGTAAAGACTCGGTATTGAATAGAAATTATCTGATTATTGATTTTAATTTATTGAATATGTGTAAATGTTATGAAAAATGTTTATTCTTTATAATACCAATTTTATAAATTAATTATATTTATTAAATTAATTGAAATTTAATTTTCAAAATAATTGAATAGCTCTAAAGTAAATTAATTAGTATCACAATGAATAAAAAATAATTGCGTTTACAAACTAGTGAACAAGAGAAAAATGAATTAAACGAAAATTCAGCAATGAGTTCAAGGGTTAAAGTTGGTTCAGTGTGACGCGAATTCGGTACAAGTTTAGCTTTAATGAGCATTGCTTTTTTGCTTTTCTAATTTTAAATTTATTAAGAAAAAACATCACTCGTGATTAACAATCATATTTTTTATCTAAAGCATTCTATTTTAAAAGATAAACGTAGAAATGGAGAAATTGCTCATCTGCGTAATTGCTTTTGTCTATTTGTATTATCTTCGCTTAATCTACTTTTTCGTTAAAAAAATAACAGCACGAACGTTTCATAAATGAATAAACGTATGAAATCATTAAAATATACTAAGATATTAATTATTGAATCATGTATATATTCTAATTCTTTTTAATATTCAAATCTGAAGAATCATTTTCTATTATTTCTTTTTTTTTTAAATTTTAAATTCAGTGTAGTTTTAATAAACTTTGTTTTCTATTATTTGATATGTGTGTATATGGAAATCTAATTCTGTTTCTCATTTTCTTTGCAGTAATTTTTATAATTAATTTCATTTCATTTATTTCATCATTAGATATTAAAAATGTTATTTATAAATAAATTTAAGATTGGACATTCTTGTTTGTATATTATTTATATAACTGTTTTTTTCTTGTTGTATATGATGTTTTTTCTGATACATTAGAACCATATTAGTATTCATATAGTTCAATTAATGAATGCAGTGGGTAACAGGTAATCTCTATAGAATAATTTTGTATATATTTAAATTAAATGTTGAATAAAGGCATTAGCCAACAAACTTTCACCGAGTCAAGATGACAATTCCTTAACTTTTAACATTTACGAGGGTGATATTCATGGTGAAGTGAAACAAAATTCTTGAACTCAACTTTACCTGATGAATTTTCTTAGCCACAATGACTAAAGTTAAATGTAAAACTAACTGAGAAGTTGCAAGGTAACAACCCCCAGAATTTTGAAAAAAACAAAGTAAACTTGTCTATGTACCGTGGTTGAAAATCTAATATATTATTTTCATTCTTTAACAAACTTTTTTCATTAGTATCCACACTAGTTTTTATAATCATATATACTTTTTATAGACACAAGTTTAATGAAGAAAATTTTAACTGAAAAATAAAGAAAATATGAAAGACAATAGTAATAGAGATGTTACTGTGCTGTCACTATGAAATTAACTGTCGTAAATAGAAAAATCACTTTTGCGTGGTAAAAAGAAATCAAGTAGACTAGCGTTCCAAGAATTAGTAAAGAAGACTGCAAACTTTATAATAAAAGTTGGAAAGAACTTATTTTATGCTTCATTTTCTTTTAAATTTCTTTTTTAATAAAAATTGTAATTACAAATAATCATATCCTGCATACATGTAATAAGTTGCAAAAACTTGCGCAATTTACATTTAAATAATTTTTGATGAAACATTTAGAATTATTTTATTTACAATGACATTTAATGCATATTTGTAGAGAAAGTTTATTGCTAGATAAGCTCGTCAATATGTTTTAGTATTCAAGAAATATTATCATGAAACATTGAAAATCTATGAAAATTCGTTTCGATTCCAGTTAAAAAAGTAAACATTTATTAAACACTCACAGCGAAAAGTATGACATTTATTTGTTTTTTATTTGTATTTAAATATTAATAAAAAATAAATAATATTTTATTTACTATTTTATATTTTGTCTGAAAACATTGAAAAATCGAATATTTCAGCAAAGGATACTTTTGAGCCATACTATCGTTGTTTGCGAAATCCTTAAACAGTATATGGGTGGTACGAATAACACCTGTCTGAATCTCGGGTAATACGAGGCCACGAAAAAGAGAAGAAAGCCTTACGAATTCGCACTCTTTCTTAAGCTACGATGACGATATATAGGGTTGGTACTTGAAAAACCGGTTTTCTGTATCCAATGAAATACACTTGTATCTTTATGGAAGATAGTCTTTTGCTGGCGCTGCTCTTGAATGACCTTTCAATGTGATTATAAGTGGGGGGATACGAAGTATATAAGTTTCTTTATACACCTGGCTTGGTACAGAATAATTTCACATTCTTAAAATATTTAGCGAACTTGTTCTAAACTTCTGTGCATGAAAAAATGCATCTAGTTAATGAAAACTGATATCAAAATATCTGTCATTTTGTTTATGATAAAAATATATTTGTTTTTACATAAAACTTTAAACAAGATTTTTTTAGTATGATTTTAATTTAATACAACACTTTTTTGGGGTGAATTTTTTTTAAAAACAATGTTTACTTCCCTATTGAAGCGTGTTCTACTTTATAACCCACCGACATGAATCGCTTTCAATAGGATAATATAAACACGTTGATGATAAAATATTTCAATTTAAATTTTAGTTTACTTTTTTTATGATTTCATAAGAGGTTTTCAAAAGAATGTTCTAAAAAATGGTTCACTAAAGCTAAATTTTAGTATTTATATTTAATTCATATATTTACAAATTTACAGTAGAATATAAATAAAGTTCAGACAGTATAACAAAAGTTGTAAAGGAATTGTTTATATACCTCTATCATCATTATTGTATAAACAACAAATAAATAAAATTTCATCTGAATTTTTGACGCTATCATTGTTCTAGAATGCAATAATTCTGTTTACAAAGTATACATCACCATTTATTGATCTGATTGGAGTTCTTCGATAAAACTAGATTTATTGTGGAATAAGTTTAGTTCCGAGTCAGTTAACTCCTCTTTGCTTTTCATTACATCTTCAAGCATAGATGCATCTTCTATTGAAGACGATTCTGATGACACTGAAAAAAAATGAAACAAGAATAAATCTATATAATAATTCAAATTATATCGATATAACAGAAAAATAATTTGATTAAAATATTTACAATCAGTATTATTTTTATGGCTATCTTCCAATTCTCCTTTTTCATAATTAAATTGGCCATCATGTAAATCACTTTCGTGAGTGAAATGCAAATACGATAATATACAAATGAGAGCAATAAAAAATAAGTTAGAACCGATTCCAATAACAGCAGAAAAAATGGGCCAATGAAACATTAAATATCGCAAACCCGATAGATGGGCTTGAATACTAACTGATGCAGAATAAAATTCAATTTGGCGTGATTGTATTTCTACATGAAGGCCAGTGACAGGATAGTCCTGAAATAATAATAATTTATATTTATTTAGGAAAAAATTCGTTTTTTATCATTAAAAAAGCTTGTTGTTTACTTGGTCATCAATAAAATTGCTGAATAATTCTACAACAATAGTTTGTTTTTCTTCCTGAGTACCAAAAAATAATATTGGAAAAGATGTAAACGTTGATAGAAAATGTAATAGTTTACTACGATAATGTAACATCGTCGGTCTACAAGATTCATCCATAAAATTATTGTTTCTTCTGAACAACTTCCCACATACCATGAACATACCTAATAAACACATACACACATTATGTTAACTATAATTATGAAAACAAAACTAATTAGAAAAAATACCATGTTCTTATTCTCAATGACATTTTATCTCCCTGAAATCGTTAGAATGCATTACATTAAATTGTAATTAAATTAATAATTTCAAAATAAAATTAATTACCAAGTTCTTTATTAGCCGGTGATTCAGGCATTTCAAGATGTAGATTTATTTTATATGGTTGTCCAACCATCAACAATTGTTGTTTTTTTGTCAATTGCTCATAAGCTGATGGATAACTGCACATGCCTTTTCCTTCTTTCGAACATGTTCTATCATCAAAAACAATCAAATTATAACAAAATTAATTATGTTATACAGTTTTTGAATATGACTACTGTTAAACACATATTAAAAATATGAATTCATATTTACTGGAATCCTAAATGTACTGGACGAGTGTATAACATATTTGGCATGTATGAATAATAGAATGCAGTATACAGAAATATCGATATCCAAATAGTAACAATGGAACTGATAAAAATAATTCCTCCTCTAAATAAGGCTAATTGCATTAATTGAACACCTTCGACTGTCTGTCTTTGAACATTGAACCATTTTTGATAGATGTTTTGGGTAAGTGTTGAAAACCCGAACATTTTGTTGAATAATTTATTAGGAAATATGCACACTTTATAAAAATTGGTGTTAAAATTCACTGAGTAACATATATTACTCAAACTCTTTTATATCATGATTAACCTATGAAATTATTTATCTCATGTATCTGATAAGTGTTATAATCATAACATAAACATAACCTTTTACAATGTAAATCAAAATGAACATTTAGTTCCCATTCTATGCTACTCATAGCAGCACTATCCAATGAACTCCAAGTGATATGTACTTTGCAACCATTTCAAAAATAGTGCTTTCTTTTTTCTTACTCCAAAATCTTTTTATTCAAGAAGAAATTACTTGTCTGGTATATTTCTTCTTGAAAATAATTTTTACTCAGAAAAATTACTACTCAAGAATTACTTTATTTAGAAACATCTTTGTCTTCAACCCAAAAAATTTAAAATTGGAGTACAAAGTTATTGGAGTAAAATATGTAAAGCAGGTACTTGGAAATATTTTTCAAACAAAAATTAAATATTCATGTGTTAATTTGAAAAGTTGAATCAAAATCATGTAGACACTTTTTGAAATATCAATCTGACATGATTTTGATAAATTATAATTGTAAGTATTTTTATGGATATAAATTCGAGTGGCCTATAAAAATTGGAGTTTCTGTTGAAGTATAAATATGTTTTGTAAACTCTATCTAATATAGTGTCTTTTGGATTTTTTGGTATAAAATTAAAGGTTATTATTTGTCAATTAAATTAATCTTTGGAAGTAATAAAATTGTCAAAATTAAAAAAATGAGATATACTATTATATTTTAAAAATAGATGGCTCAATAATTTCATTTTAGTAATTACAAAACTTATTAACGAATCTGTATTACATGAAGCTGAAGTTAACATAGTTTAGTATTATTTCATAATACACCATTTTTATGTGCTTCCATGTTGTTTACTGAAAAGATTAAATTTTATTATAAAATATAAATTCATTTATTTTCCTCTACGGTGTTCGAGTCGAGGTCTTCCTTTTTTTGCTGCAGGTTTGTCTTTGTTTTTGCTTAGCAGTGGATGTATTTCTGTAAAACAATAAATTTATTTATTTTCTATTAAAAAAAAATATGTTTTCTTGAACAAACAAGTTTTAAACGATATTCACCATCGACAGGTGCTCCTTGTAGATGAATATCATGAGATCGATGCTTTTTTGGAGGAGGCTCGTGTACTGCAGTTTGATTATCTTCGGGTTCTTCAACATCTGGTGAAATCGGTAAAAATTGTAGAGATCCAACATCTTCAGTTTCTTCATCTGAACTACAAAAGGCAGCAACTCTGTCAATTGCCGCAACATCTACTTCAATCTCTTCATCCTGAGCCTCTTCTCCTTGTACAACTGATTTATCTTCATCACTTAAATCAAATTCACTCTCTCGTTCTTCATATTCTACGTTTTCATCAAGCTCTTTAAAATCCGGAGCAAATGCAGACCAATTTTCTACTTGATTCTGAGCCCAAATTGACACTACTCCTGATGATATAGATGCAATTATTGGTCTAACTGGATGCCACTAAAGCAAAAAACGATAAAAAAAAGTGTCATTTAATCTTTGATTAATATTATTTGAGTTCATTCGTTACCGTTTTTTGAATTAAAAAAGACTCAATTGATATCAAATTACGAAAGTGTGCTGTAATGTCAATTTTAAAAGTGGAAGTTAATAAATGTTTTTTTTTAACATTTTACCACAACATCGAGTAGAAGTTCTCCTTTAGTTCCGTGTAAAATTTTCACCAAATTTCCAATGCTTTTCTCCCAAATATATAATGCATGTTGTCTGGCTGACCCTGCACAAACATATTCACCATCTCCGGAAAAGCAACATTTTTTCCACATTGTTTTATTTACTAAATCTTGAAGTTTTTGAATAGGCTCTGGTTCTCCATCTTTACCACAAGCCAGGATTTCTGTACTGTCGTATACACGAATAACTCTATCGGAAGTATTAACGAGGAAGCATGAGCCACGTCGAGCAAATTCAATACTTTTAACAGCTGTATTACTAGCTGTGCCTTGAGATATTTTGTAAGAAGCTTTTACTGTTAATGTTTCAGAATCAAGTACGAGAATTCTACCTCGAGCATTACCAGTATATACATAAGATCCTCGTCTATCAAATGATGCTACAATATTTAAATCGCTCTGTAATAACAAAAACAAATATAAAATGTAGAAGTAAAATATGAGAATAAATACTTTTCAAGAAATCAATACCATAGTTTAGAAGCTTCTATAGAAATAGCAACAAATATTTACAGTATATTTTAAAAATAAATTTGGCTAGTCACGCAATAAATTGCTATATACTTACATCTTCATCTAGAGGAATAACTCGATGAGTTCCTTCAATGTCAACCATAACCGCTGCATGTCTCATCGGACATACTAAAAACTGATTTTGGTTTCTAGGATGAAATTGAACTTTTAAAATAGGTGATGGAAATCGATATTTTTGATCACATTCGCCAGACAAAACGTCCCAAATACAAACATTATTGTCAGTTGAAGCACTAAGTAATTTATGTCCATTTCTTGACCAGCTATATGTATTTATATAATATATGATTACTAATACTGTATTACATAATACTAATTGATGAAATTTATTTCATCGAAATTAAATGAGTTGAATAATAAATTTAATACCTCAATGAACAGACAGGATGAACATGAGCACTAATTATTTTAGCAATTCCTCTGGTCAGAAAATCCCATATAACAATTCGACCATCATTGCATCCAACTGCTAATAAAGTTCCTCTTTTATTGAATGTACAAGTTACAGCAAGAGAAATGCAATCCAAGGTTCCATCAAATTCCTAATTAATAAAAGTAATGCATTAATAGATTAAATATACCGAAAGCAATATTCATTTGCTTTGAATGTTAAATAACAATTGAGCTATAAAAATATGTAATTATTAAAAAAAATACATATTAAAAATATTAAAAAGAGGTATATTGTACAATAGTTATACAATGAATTAATGTATTTCCAACACAATGAATTAATGTATTTCCAACACAATGAATTTTTTTACTATCTATTAACAATACAATACAAATATTGATTAATGTTTTATAATATATTTTTTACATACCTCCGGGTAATTTTGACCGAAAGATTCTGCAAATAATTGTAAACGTTATAATTTTATTTTGCTCAATTACATTTGTGACAATCATTGAAGTACTTACCTAAAAGCTCTAAGTTCATTTTCAAAATTTTTAAAGAATTTTTATTGATAGTCAATCATGTTATCAATAAAGAGAAATTGTAATTAATTAAAGGAACATCCAATGTTAACAAATTGTAATTCCATTAAAAACTTTGCTAAACTTCCATGTTGTATATTTATAGAAGTGTGGCGGCCATCAAAGAACTCCATCAGTACATGTTCGTCAGTTGGTATTTCAAAAACCTGTATTATCTTTAACAGTTAATAAAATAGTTTCGCGCGAAAGTTAAACGATATTAATTGTTAAAGAGCAGATTATTACTTTCATATTGACACAATTATTTGTGTGAAAAATATACCTTTTTTCGGAAACGTAATAGTATGGATTATTTAATTTATCCATTTTTTTTTAATCAATATCAAGGATAGACTGAGTTAACAGGCTATATAATAAAAATAATGTATCCTTATATATTGTTACTGTTATTCGATAAAAAAACATTCAAATGTAGACAACTAGATTTTTTAAGTGAAGTAAAAATGTTTTATTCTTTTGAGATATCTTGTTCCATTGACTGACACTTGAGTCTATAATTACAATTTATTAACAGTTGAATCAATTGTTAACTGAGTTTATTAGCAACTAATACAAATTTAATAATAATTCTACGATTCTTACTAGACTAAAATTTCATGACTAACGTATCTATCTTGACAAAGTTTTTCAAAAAAATTGTCATGAATTTGAAGTAATCTATTCCTATTTAGAAATATAGTAAAAAATTATTCGAATAAATATAAAACATTATTTTCAATATGTAAAAAATTACTCTACAAAAAATTCTCTATTATTATTGAATTTTCTACGATAAATTGTAATAAATTTTTACCTTGAATTTCTGGTAAACTATCCTTCAATTTTCATAAATTTTCACCTTACTCTTCCGTAATAATTTCTTTACTCAGAATGATTCTATATTTGACCCGTCATAAAACGCTTAGCTAAAAAGCCTCTCGGTCTAATTATGACCAATTTTCGCAATATCGGATTTACAATAGATAATAGAGGATATAATAAATAACAATACAACAATAATAATTAAAAGAAATGTGATAAAAATGTATAGAGTTTCTTCGAATCACTGTTGCATCTGCGCATCGACCTATTCACTTGTACAATGATTCTATATTTCCGGGGATTATCGTGATTCCATACCTAAAAAGTTTGTCTATATTTGATATACAGCTTAGAGTCATCATCTTCATTATCTAGAGAGATTAATTTCACTTCATGTCTCCTATTTTTCTTTTTTTAACAATAAATGTTTTCTATAATTTCAAAGAAGGAAACAATTTCAACGGAAGTTAGGTATGATTGGATTTCGTTACAGAAATTTTTTTAATAGAATAAAAAATAATATAAAATTTCTCCCTGCTTCATGTTAGAAAAGGTATTCGTGAAAACAGTAATTTTTCACCAAGTGGACGAAATAAGGACGCATTTCTCAGACTAGAGTAATTTTTCACTAAATTTTCAAAGTAAAAATTGTAAAAAATTTTTTTTAGTGTTCTGTCATGGGAAATGATTGAGTCATTATTATTTGATAAAATGAATATAAAACTCTTGTTCGGAAAGTCATATCAATTATTTTCATCAACGACTTTTTATTCCATATTAATTGGTAAATGTTTTACGTGTTGATCAATTATCGATTACCACCATCATTAAGTAGTGATGTATTTATTTAATCGTATTATCGATTTGTATAACTAAAGCGTTTTAATGATCATTATTGTAAGATTCAAATAAATTTTTCAACACAACAAGAGTGAGTAAATGTATATTTTTTACTTTAATTTCTATTCATAAAATAAAGAAAAAATTTTTTTAAATGTCACTCCACACATGAATTGACTTTACATGCCCGGAATGATTGATATTTTCTGTTACCACAGTAAATAATTACTTACTAAGATTGGGTATTAATCAATCTAATCAATTGTACTCTCTTCCCTGATGCTGGATTACCTATTTGCACGTTTACGCAGTTTACATTGTTTACACTGCGGTAAAATGAATTGAAAATAGCCATGAAAAGCATTTTCCCTATTTCAAACCCTCGCTTCAACAATACTTGGAATACTATGAATGTGAATGAGTTCAACTTGTTCACTTTTTCTTCTTCATTCGCACGAAAAGCAGTCTCTAGGGAAATGGGAGACGAATAACGTTATTTCAGCCATGAATTTTGCTGTAAACCCAATCAAGTGATATAAGCATTAATCAAATTTTGTTTTTGAAAAGATAAATATATTGAGAAAATGCTGATATTGATTAGAACGATAGAATAATTTTCACTGCGTTTTTGCAACATGATATTTATTTACGATTAGGTTATTGAAAAAATTACGATAAACTAATTAAATCAACTAAATAGAGGAATTTTTTTGCTTTTATATAAAGTTTATATCATGAACACAAATAAAAAACATTTATCACTGTGTTTTAATAACAAATTTTTATTTATTTAAAGCTATTACAAGTGTTGTGTGAAAAAGTTAGTGATTAACAGTTACATTTATTGTCAATATTTTTTAATGTAAATTATAAAACACTTTGTATGTAAAAATATATTTTATTTTTTCAACTAAGTAAATTGAATTTTCATTCAAAAATATTTGTTTATTTACATTGTCATTATCTTCAATTATTTTCAGTGCCAATCAATGTATAATTTAATTTCATATTTTGTGATTTATTCATTTTTTTACATATCTGTGTTACTGATAATGTATTAATAAATTCTTCATTGATGTAGCGAGTATTAATACAATGACTGATTGTTAGAGAAACATTTATTTTAAAATACATAGTACATTCGCTGCAAGTAAAGTGAGCTTAAACAGGTTAAAATGACATACTTGACAAAATTTTTGAAACAAAAAGATGGATAAATAATTAAAAATATCAAAATATTTGATTTTTATTTATTAATAATGATTAGGTAAATACTATTTATGTGTAATTATTATTAATAATTAATAACAAGATCCAATCCTCTTATATTGCTAATGAACATGTTTGATATTTAACAACAATGTTTGTTAGATAATAGATATATTTGATTCTTACCCAAGAACGTACCAGGTATCATTGTTATCTTGAAAGATTTTCATATTCAAATGATCAGTCGATATATATTTATAATAATTTATGAAAAAAATTTCTACCATTTAGTATTTCCAAGTGAGGCAAATATATATTGTTTAAACAATTTTAAATTAATTTTTATTCTTTTACAATTGTAAAAAAGAATTCACAATATACAGTTTTAAAATTTTTTAAATGATCATTCTATTCTTCAGACATTAGAATATCATTTACACTAAAATTATTATTGCCTAAAGCAAATCATGTATTCGTATATATATATATATATATATAAAACGTAATGGATCACTAGTACACCACAGTCTCATGGGGTTTATCTTTATTTTAAATTCAAACTATTGAAATTCTGCCGCAGGGTGTACTCGACAATCGTTGTAGAACACGTTTCATCGCACCGACTTGTAAGTTTAAGATTCCTCATATAAGACTGAAATGAAGTACAGAATTTATTTCAAATTCTTATTTTTGGACGCTTCCTACAAAAAGAATTTTTTTTCTTTAAGGAAACATTTCTTTTATTTGTTGTTTCCCTAACTCAGACCGACAGATGGTCATGAGTAATTCCATAAAGGTGTCTTTTTTAAAAAATATATGCATAAATCAAAGATAAACCGGTGTAAATATCGCAAGCTTACATTTAGACGGCAAGGTCTCGTACGACAGTCTGAAACTCCTTGAAAAATTATGGCGACGTCTCGACGTAGGGAAACATTATAGAGGCTTTACTTAGGTTGCCACAACCAGGAGTGCACTTGCCTTGAATCGGTTTGTATTTCTACACAAGTATTTTAGAAAGCGTTAGAAATCGATTAAATTTTTATCTTTTCATCATGTTTTTTTTTCATTTATTTTTTTAAAATTTATAATACATTTCATACTTTAAAAAAGCATTACAAATGAATATCAGGGAAATATTGATAAGGCTTTTAATTTTTTTTAATAATTTAGGTTTTTAGTGAATGTCTTACGTATTTTTCTTACACGGATTGTATCAACGTACCCGAGGTGAAATAGTAGCTTTGGGATTTGCTACTTTTGCATATCGCCAAGAGGTAACAGCATAAAAGTGATACATAACTATACGAGATGGAATTTCATTGGGGACTAAAGATTGCAGTGGGATATGTTTGTTACATTTTTTGCTCTAAAGTATTCCCTGAAGATAATCATTTACCTGAAATGTCTATTCGCTATTAGAATATTATACTCACATCGATTTCTCAATTTTTTGATATTAACGTGACGAATAAGAATGTGATACTTTAGTTGATATTTCATGTGGTTAACTAGAGTATTGTAAAAAACCATTTAACTTCGATTCACTAGTAACATGAATAGACCGAAAAAATAGGCGAATTAATCCGCAAATCAAATAGTCAGCTTATCATGGGGAACTGACTCAGTTACAAAGGTGGCCTCGCACGGACTGCTTTGTTGGAATAATATGTTCAATGACTTTCTCGAATAATCTGAACACGGCAAGCGTTATGCAGATGACTTCTAAAAATTTTAGAAAAGCCCTAGAGGCTACAGAGCAAGTAGTAGTAGACTTAATACTCACATGGTGTAGGAATGCCAAACTTGGATTATCGAATACCAACGCGGAAGTGATTTTTCTGAAACGCGAAATAAAACTCAGAGGCAGAAAGACTAACCCAAACTATGCGTACTATCGAACTGTATTTGAAAAACAAGAAAGTCAGACATGAAAGCAAACTGCCGATAGTCATAGACGAAATGAAGATCAAGTTCAAATGAGTAGTTAGATACTTGGGGGTTTAGTTTAGCAGGAACTTTAATATATTAACTCATATTGATATACGACGGGTGCTGGCAGAAAAGCTGCTTCTGCAATTATTTCCTTAAAAAAATTGATTGTTACAGTAATTATGATTTCCGGGGTATCAACCGCCTGCAAATCACCAATACACCAATAGTGTTGCGAATGATAATTGTCGATAATTTAAAGGTTATATACTTTCTACGA